GTCTCTTCTCAGCACTCCCAAATACCGGCTCATCCGAGCCTGCTCCGTGGACACCTGCTCGGGGCAGAACATCGCCCTCTCATGAAACTTCCGCGTGATCACTGCAACCGAATCATTACCCTGCTTGAGGGTCAAGAACTCCTGAACCAACCGTTCCCTCTCCACCGGGGGAACGTACTCGTCTCTGAACATAGCAGTAAATCTCTCCCAAGTCAAGGCTGAAACCTCCGCGAGAGTGAAGTTTGCCGTCACGAACTTCCACCAATCCTTCGCTCCCAGGCGGAGCTGGTTCAGGGCGAACCGCACCCTCAGATGCTCCGGACATGAACAAGTATAGAAGCATCCCTCAATATCGGCAATCCACCTCATAGCAGCAATCGGATCCTGAGTCCCGTCAAACTCTGGTGGCTTCGTGTTGCTGAACTCCCGGAACAGCAACGAGTCACCCCCCTGTGGCCTGGCAGCAGCCACAGCTGCGGTAGCTGCAGCAGCGGCAGCCTCAGACAACGCGGCATACCGCTCATCAAACGTCTCCATCAGCGTGGTCTTGATAGACCCAAACATTTCCGGAATCTCGGCCCGGATCGCTGCAGCTACCTCCTCATGGATCATCTGACGGAGCTCCTCGTCAGTCACCCCACTCGTGCCAGGTCTGTGTCGTGGTCCAACCATGATGTCTCTGAAATACAACAAAAGAATATCAGAGACCCTATCGGGCAAAAATCGCACTCGATAACGCAACCCTGCTCAGTTTTCGATACTCAGGGGTTCCCACTTGGCTGCCTACTGACCCGGTGTCCTTGGCAGTACGGGCCCAATACTGCCAGTTACACCGCGTCGGTATTCACCCAAGTCATCCTCCCCAACCTCGAATCCTGAGCACTCTATTCTTTTCATACTCTTGTTACCCACTCGCTCTCGAGCACCTCAAAGAAGCAAGTTCTCCCTAGACTAAGGCATCGCAAAATCAGGCCACTTTAGCCCTAATATGTATACCTAGTCTGCTAGCATGCGTATCATATCATAAATCGTAACACATATAATAAGAGTATTTTGGGGATTTTTACCGTTCGGGCGCTAGCTGACCGTACACACCTTTTCTTCTTCGGTTGTCTCACATTTCAAAATTTAAATTTTGATTATTTTTTTTTTTGTAAAAACAATTTTTTTTTTTTTTCTCCAATCCCCGGTTTGAGTCCAGTTACACCCGAAGGTGTACCCGAATCCCTCAAACCAAGGCTCTGATACCAACTTGTAACGTCATAAAATTTGCCAACCAAAAATTTTCATTTTTACAACCATTAAGACATGAGTAATTAGTTTAGATTTCCAAAATCACGTCGTAGTCTCAAACGATTACATATCAAAAGATAAAATAGTTTCCCCGAGTGTGTGTACGATCACGCTGGCGCCTTCCCACGGTCCTCACTCGTACCTGAAACACATAAACAACAACTGTAAGCATAAAGCTTAGTGAGTTCCCAAAATACAACATTGCACATACGCCTTTCCAGGCCTTGACCTTCCGGTCCATGTGTTCAGGGGACTTCCGTCCCGACTGGGTAAACCTTCCGGTCCTACCCACATCAATCCTTACAGTCCATATGACCACGCCTTCCGGCCCATATCAAACATATCATACATGACACATATAGCAAATAACTTAACACACATAGAGCATATATTCCATATCATATTCGACCTTCCGGTCACATAGTCAAAACCCTTCCGGGTACAGTATAGTGAGAAGACTCACCTCGTATGCCTCGCTAAGTTGCTACCCGCAAATCCTGGAATCACTCGGGCTCGAACCCTCGAGCTGAAATCCTCCTACGATATATATATACATCTATAATTATTACTTGTACCACTAAGGTGGACCATTCAACTCAAGTCAACACCGGTTGACCCGGTCAGCAGTCTTTAGTTAATTTGGACTAGACTCGGCGAGTGCACAATAGTGACTCGGCGAGTCTACGCGTTTTTACCAACTCTCAAGAATTTTCCCTTTGACTCGTCGAGTACTCCCCTGACTCGACGAGTTCCACCTGGGCCTGAATCGCAGGGTCACCGCGACTCAACTCGCCGAGTCTAAGGCCAACTCGGCGAGTCCCATCCTGACTCGGTCCACCTGCCAAAACCTTTCCAACTCTCTGCGACTCACTGAGTCGCTCACAACTCGGTCCAGTCTACACACAAGATGGTCTCAAGGACAATCTTCAAGTGACTCGTCGAGTCTGTTCTTCAGACTCGGCGAGTCCATGCCATGCACCAGCTAAAACTGGCTCTGCGGTCAGATCCGTTCCATAGATACATAGATCTGGCCTTCCCAAGCTTATTTGTCACGTAAAGTCTCAGTCTTGGTTGCCATGCAATGCATACAAGGCTTATTTTGAAGAAACAACCTTCAATATGGCAAGTATAGCTTCTAACTCAAATGAATGGGCATAAAGCTTGTCATAAGGGGTCTCCTGGACCTGCTAAAGTCCAGATCTAGGTTCCATGTCTCCATGGGACCTCTCATACTTCTTATTCAAGCCAAGAAAGGCAAGAAGAAACCCTAGATTTGGCCCATCAACACAAAACACGAAGATTGGCTCAGAATGTTACCTCAAGAAGACCCCCTTGATGAAATAGCAACAGATCTAAGCTCCCAACACTTCAAGCTTGCTCCTCTCCTCCTTTCCTTGCACTATCACACAAAATGAAGAACAAAAGGCCTTCAAACACACACACAAGGGCTTACAGACGTATGGAGGCTCTTAGGGTTCAAGGTGGCCGCATAAGAGGGCCATAAGGTCCTTTAAATAGAGCTCAGGGTCGGGGAATTAGGGTTTCATTAAACAGCACGGACTCGTCGAGTCCACCCCTTGGACTCGCCGAGTCCGGACGCGAACCCCCGCTATAAACCGCGACCCGACTCGACGAGTTCAACCACCAACTCGCCGAGTCCCCTCACAGAATTCCAAAAAATAAGGAAATGGGGATACCTGGGGATCCGGGCTGTTACAATCATATTCTATTAGTGGCAGTGAACTCGCAATTAATCTATGGAAGGAATGTATAACAAATGTGCAGAAATTCAATCGTGACTCCCTAAATCACCTATCTGCAACAAGTGTTGTTGCAGTGATCAACCTAAAACCATCAAAATCCTATGGTATCATCTTCTATAAACTTACACACACATACACACACACACACACACACACACACATATATAATATATATGTATATGTATATGTGTATCACTACTACCATACCACATCCACAAATACCCTTAACCATAACATATCATTGGTGTAGGAGTCCTACAGCACGGATCGTCACATGCGACACATATCTATGTGAACCCCGATATACCGGAGACGACAACACTCATAGATCTATAAGTCACACAAATTTACGAACATTTTCCTGATATATATAAATGAATTTGTAGACAAACAACAACCACACTACAGATACACGGGACCCTCAAGGCCTATGCCTGCGTTATCGGGAATACCTTCAACCTTATACCAACTAAAACTAAAAACAAAATCGGAACTACTGGTAAGATAACAACACTGCTAATAGTATTTACTAATACAGTACGTTTAAGAGTGTCACCTTCGATTACTTCCCATTTATAGGACAAAAGTTTCATAGTCAACGCCTCAATCAAGGAATTTCACTTCCAAAACACATGGTACCAAACGATATGTCCAATCTGCAAAGACTTGATTTTCAGAAGAGGCCCTCAGTCGTACTGCGGTGCACATGGACTGATAGAAAAGCCAGCGTGCATGTAAGCAGTTTCCAACTCATACAGATATACCACTTTTTGCTAATCATACTATTTACAGATTCTTCATTTATATAGATATAAACTTACTGTTACAATTACCGACACAACGGACACCATCCCCGCAATAGTGTCTGAAACATCATGTTGTAAGCTATTAAAATCATCGCTAGAACAATTCATATTCGATAACCCACTAACTAACAGAAACACACTGCCTTCAATCATGACTCATCAAATGTAAGAAACGAAGACCATGTGTATCCAAATGCTGAGAGCATCAACTGCTGAAAATATCCGTTTCATAACAATTGACATCCAACAGTTAGCTACACGACCGGACACCCATCCTAACAACACTGGCACACACACAAAAAGAATCCGATCGGATAATGAAGCACCTGAGTCCAGTACTTCTGAACGCCCTGTCGTACGCACCCTCACCTTTACTCCACCAGGTAAAACAAAATGTTATCATGTCAAAAGTAAACACTAAGTCACGAAAGCCATTACTAATGCTTTCTAAATTCCTTACTCACAGGCCCACCAACAGCAACATTTCCGAAAATAACCCCGAAGTAACAACGAATAACAAAGAAGACATTTAACTGGAAGTTGTCATTTGGCTACGAATTCTCCCTTTGCAGTTAATAATTGTAACAACGATCATATGTAATATAAACCATAATAAAGAAACATCGTTTGCATACTTTGACACAACCATAATTTAACTAAATACCACACTATACATATTTATTTAAATATAAAACATGCACCCGACAATATCTAATACTATAGATAAAATAACATGTATATATTTAATATAATACCAAATCAGTCAAATATTATATTAATGAATACAGTTGAATAAGTCAGCTGAAATACTTCCATAACGAAAACAATAAATATGATAAACAAACTCCACAGTTATGCGCCTATACCACTACTGAATAGGAAACCTTCCCATTTTCCAAAACAAGGATATCCGCACCGGTCAAAGATTTCCCCAGATATATCCCATTTAATACCACACCTGTGACAAACAATCAACTCCATCTAATAAAGGAAAAAATCGGTAGCCGTCGCCCTATATCTATAACAAATCAAAACACCTATTAATGACTTCCAATGAATGCAGTCCAACTACCATAATCCTCAACTATAAAAAAAACACCATGTTGATCATCCTTCCACCAAACAAGAATCACAGAAGATGGAGACCATCATGAAGAAACTGCAAAACCAACTCGACACAATGCAGGAAGCGCTTGTCATGGTCCAAAACACTTTCAGCTACATCAACCAAACACGACAAAACATGAAAAACGAAGTCCCATATGAAATGCTATACAAACAGGCCGTCGTCACCGAAACCTTCATCAATGATCTTGATCAAGACACGGTGATCATGCTCGACATCTTCCAGGCAATGCAAGAGAACAGGGCTTCCGCTACCGAGGTCTGCAAGAAAATCATCAATGACCACCAGGTCCCGTGAAGTAGCAAATCCAACTCTTTTGTAATCAAATGTCTAGTACCTATCTCTTAATGAATGGAAACTTTTGTAATGAAACACTAATGAATGAATGTTATCCTTTTCTGCTTATGACATAATCTTTTTATTTATGATAACTATTTCTAATGAATACGACGTTCTAAACCAGTTCCATTATATACTATGGCTCAGTTAACCGAGCAGTTAAGTGCCCTTCCTTCTCCTATCTTTGTTTGCCATCATCCAACTTAATGGTAAGAAAACCCATCTCCTAACGATGAAGGAATAGATTAATCACCTTTGGGGCTGGTGGATTGATCGCCTTTTGTCACTGCCCCCCGCGAAGCGGGGGTAACGAATCTAGTTATAAATTAAATACCATTTCTAATAGTTTTTTAATTATATTTGTAGTTGACCCATGTAGAAGAGTCCGAGGAAAAGCAAAAAATATTAAGCTTCAAAGAACGCTCTTACAGAATAAGGGCAAGCCAATTTACATGGACAATGATAGAGATATGACATATGATCCCGTAAGGGTGCCGAATGACATGTTTGCACGCGAAGTTGGGAAAATAATGTGGCGGGTTGTCCCTTTTGATAAATGGACTTGGAAAAAAGTTTCCCATGTAATAAAGAATCCAACAAAAAAACATTTATTATTTGTATAAAAATATTTTATATGATTAATTATGAGTGATTTTTACTTGGTAAACATTTTTTTTTATTTTGTTGACAAAATTTGATTTGGATCGGATATTCGGAGATCCAGACACTGCTATGTTGTTAGAGAGTTTGAAGCGGCTTTGTTAAAAGGTTATTGAGAGCATAAAGCTGATGCAAAAGAATATTTTTTGGAAGTCGGAGGGTGTGAGGATATCCCGAGAACATTAGCAACCCCCATATGATATGGATGTTAATAATTGGAAGAAAGCATTTGAGTATTTCTAAACGGATGAACACAAACTGCTTCAGAAAGGAACAAAAAATTTCATGAAATGCAAACGACCGTGAACCATGGGGGGTCAAGCTCATATAGCAGTATTTGCTATAAGAAGGTAATGTACGTACAT